GAACAGACGACAGGATGACGTGCAAACGAATAGGCACCAACACACTCCCATTCAGACTATCGGCTTGTCTCGCCGTCTCTAGTTCAAGGACATTCCCGTCATCCTCGCATGGCGCCAGCGTGGCCAGCCGCTTGGTAAGGAAGTCAGCTGGCTGTTGCTGAGTTTTCGCGTAGATCGGATCCAGCGTCCCAAGTTTCACCTCTTTCCGCAGCCAATGTCACTTGATCCTCATGTGCTTGTTCAGCCCATGAAGAACCGCATTGCGTGCCATAGCAATGGCTCCCTTGCTGTCACTGAACAGAGGTGTTGCACAAGTCTGTTCATGTCCGATCTCCTTCAGCACCCTCCTAGCCAGATGATTTCTTTTGCTGAATGAAACATCGATATGTACTCAGATTCCACTGAAGATAGTGCCATTTCAGACTGCATCTTGGACCTCCAAGTTGCAGGCCCACCTCCCTTCATGCAGATGTATCCACCAACTGACGATGGATCCTCACGCTCCGAAGCCCATGTGGCATCAGCAAAGAAGGAAAGGAACACCTTTCTTTTTCCGAGCTGCTCCCCCTTCTCTTTGAGAACTTCAACTCCTTTCTGCTTGAGTTGAGGAGAGGCTAAATACTGTACTCCCACTACAGGGTAGGACTTGAGGCAACGCACCACACTCTCTGCTGCATCCATACTGCTCTTCTGTTGGATTTTGCACTACTCGAGCCAGCTGTCCCATAGCAAAGCTGATGTCAAATCGAGTATGCACAGCAGCGTAGAGTAGGCTCCTGACGATGGAATGGAATTTCCTCTGGTATTCACTCTCAACTCCTCCTTCAGATGGCTTTATGACATTGAAATCGCACGACAAAGGAGTAGTCACTTTCCGTTCTTCCTGCAGAAAGTACTTCTCAGCCAAGGTGTTGATGTACTGTTCCTGATGCATTTAGAGCCAGCCACGTTCAGCATCTCTCTCAATGTGCATTCCCAAGTAGTACCTTGCCTCCCCAAGTGACTTGCACTTGAACTGCTCTGTGAGCCTCCGCTGCACCCCATCAATCTCCTTGTCGCTGCTGCTGAAAAGCAGGATGTCATCACGTACACCAGCAGAAGCACAAGTGACTAAACCTCGCCCATCAGGAATAGGCTCTCGTTGCATGCACTCGCACAGAATCCAAAAGTTTCCCGTGCGCTGGCCAGCCTGTTGTACCAGTATCTCCGTGCCTACTTCAAGCCAAAGATGGTCTGGTTGCAGACACGACTGGTTCCATCCTCATGGCCAGGAGGTTCCACTATGCCCCTCGGAATTTTTTATTCCGCTTTGGACTGCCTTAACTGTGTTGGTAAGAGAGGGCTACTAGCAGACGACTCATCTGCTCCTTCAAAAATTTTGCAGCACTTCGTTATGACGCCCAGAAAACTTGCGATCTTCGGAAAGCTATATCCGGACATCCAATTGGTAAAACCATCTGAAAATCGGATGTGTTGTAGCGTGCAACATCATATTTTTAATGCAAGTTGAATTACTCGATTCCGTAACCTAGCAAGTAAGCTATGGTGTTTGCCGCACTGGGGGGTAGTCTGCCTTAGGAAAGATTAGCAGTTCTCAGAGTCACAATCATTGAAGCTTACAAGTTCAAAGGCATGATGGAAAACATCGAAGCATAGTTGAAAGATGGTAAAAGAAGGGAAGGATGAAATAAAAGGACCCTGGAGGTCCTTGGTCAAGAACATGACAAGAGTCAAAGTCTTGACTCCCCATCCTCAAGGTTCAACCAGCCTGGCAAGTCAAAATCCACACTGTGCCAGGTTGGCATCCAAACCGCAAATGTCATCATGGCGTGGGTGCGCCAGGCTCAAGTCACGTTCGGCACTCCTCTGAAATGCCTCCATTCTGATGGCGGGGGAGAATTTCGCAATGGCAAACTCGATAACTTCTGTGCGGCGCAAGGGATTCGGCAAACCTTCACGCTCCCCGAAAGCCCGCAGCAGAATGGCATTGCAGAGAGCCGCAACCACACCTTGGTTCAGATCGCTCGCTGCCTCCTCAGTCACGCCAACGCACCATGGTCACTCTGGGGATATGCCCTCTTCCATGCGGCACTCCTCTACAATCTTTATCCGCATCCCCACCGGCCCGACACCACACCTACCGCTCTCTGGCTTGGGGTCACGCCTTCCGCCCGCTCTCTACGCGTCTGGGGGTGTACCGCGTATGTGTTGCTAAGCCCCCACACGCGCAGGAAGCAAGGTGGCAAGCTTGGTCCCAAAACCCAGACCTGCATGTACCTGGGGCACAACTCCGACTCCCCAGACTACTTATTCCTCAACCCAATCACCAGACAGCAGATTCGCAGCCGTGATGTCGTCTTCGATGAGACACGCCCATTCCACTCTGCGACCACGGGCGAGCCTCCTCCACCTCCCCCGACGCTTGTTTGGGCAGACTTCGATGCCCCACCTCCGGCCGCTGCCCCTTCTCCTGGGCCTTCTCCGTCCGGCGTGTCTCACCCGGCCTCCCCAGTATCCTCCGCAGCGGCACCTCCTCCTGCTCCGCCTTCCCGGCGCGTCGAGCCCGGCTCACCAGTCTCCTATCGGAGGCGCCCAGTCCCTCCGGTCCCACCGGAGCCGCCTTCGTCTCCGGTCTCTAGTCGCACTCGTTCCAAGGGACCGGCTCCGCCTCTCGCCAGGGGACCAGCCGCCTTCTCCATCCGGTGTTTGGTCACCCCGCCTCCTCCTGCCGGGGGTGATGTCCCCTCCATCCGTATTCCCCCCCCTGCACTTCTGGAGGACAGGCATGAGAAGCTGTTTTACCTTCACGCGGTCTGCCAATTTCTCTCTCACATCTTCCCGGACATTACTGACTGCCCTTCCCTCAACTTCACCAAGAACCCGACCATTCCGACTCCTCGCACAAAAGAGGAAGCTCTCTCGGGGCCTTATAAGAAGGAGTGGAAGGCAGCAATGGATGTGGAGAACGAGGCGTTCATTCGCAACAACAGCTTTGACGATGTTGTTCCCCCTTCCGGTGTCAACATCGTCGGCGGAAAATGGATCTTCCGAGTCAAACAACTCCCAGGCGAAGCTCCACTGTTCAAGGCACGATACGTGGCGAAGGGTTTCACCCAAAAGGAGTATCTCGACTTCTTCGAAACATTCTCGCCCACGGCCAAGCTCCCGACTGTGCGCGCTCTTCTTGATATAGCCGCTCGCGGCAACTTCGAGATCAAGTCCATGGACGCCTCCTCCGCCTTTCTCCAAGGCCAGCTCAAGGAGGATGTTCACATGGAACGCCCACCGGTGTTTCCTGGCACTTACCCTGCCAACACAGTGTGGAAGCTGAAGCGCCCAGTGTATGGCCTCAAGCAGGCTCCTCGTGAGTGGCACAACAAGGTGAAGGAAGTCCTCCTCGCACTTGACTTCCATCCCTCTGCCTCAGATTCCAGTCTCTTCGTTCGTCACTCCTCCCAGCCCTTCTACATCCTCGTCTACGTCGACGACTTCATTCTAGCCGCCAGAGATCCAGCCGACATGGCAGCTGTCCAGTCTGCTCTCAGCTCCGCCCTTCTCATGAAGGATCTTGGTGACCTCAAGAACTACCTGGGGATGGAGATCACTCGTGACTGCCAGGCTTGCACGATCACCCTCTCCCAGGAGTCCTACATCGACAACCTTCTCAAGCGGTTCGACATGGACTCCAGTAACTCTGTCTCCACTCCACTCCCACTACAGCATCAGCTCACGGCCCCTCCAGTTCCTTCTCCTCACGCCTGCAAGGACCCGTACCCTGAGCTAGTCGGTTCACTCATGTATGCCATGATGTGCACTCGACCAGACTTGGCTTACCCGGTTAGTTTCCTCTCTCGGTACGTCTTCCCTGGACGCTACACTGCCTCGCATTGGTCTGCAGCCAAGAGGGTCCTCCGCTATCTACAAGCCACCAAGTCTCACATCCTCACTCTTGGTGGTACCTCTCCAGTCAAGCTCGAGGGATACACAGACTCCTCATGGGCCGATGACCAGACTGACAGACGCTCCTCCCAAGGGTACTGATTCACCCTTGGTAGCGGAGTCATCAACTGGCGCTCCACTCAGTCCTCTGCAGTCTCCCTGTCGTCCTGCGAGGCCGAGCTCTACGCGGGCACAATGGCTGCTCAAGAGGCACGCTGGCTCTCCTTTCTCCTCGCTGAGTTAGGCTACCCCCAGCAGTCGCCCACCCTGTGGTGTGACAACCAGAGTGCCATTCACCTCACCAAGGATCCTGTGTTCCACTCTCGCACCAAGCACATTGAACTTCGTCATTTCTTCATCCGAGATCTTGTTCAGAGTGACCAGCTGACGGTACGGTACATCGCCTCAGATTGCAACCTCGCCGACCTCTTTACCAAGGCTCTCGGCAAGGCTGACCACCATCGCCTTCTCCGTTCCATGGGGCTAGGTACTCCTTGACCGGGTTTGCAGTCTATTGGGGTGTGTTAGAAATAGATTGCAAATCCTACTTTTATATTTGTACTTTTATATCCTAGTTTAGGTTATGAAAGTTCTAGTGGGTTGGGGTGTACTCACAAATCCCAACCTCACCCAATTGTGATCCCCACAATCTCCAATTACCCAATTGGAGATTCCGGAGATCCCAATGGGGATTCCCTCCAATTCCCCCTTCATCCATTCTCTCTCACCTTGCCATGTACTTATAGAGCCTTGGGCTCCTTACCTAATCAATCATTTCAACTCTATTTCTTACATCATGCACTGTTGTGCTGCATGGACAAGGACACCACGCAAGGACTTGCTGGATGCTGTGCGAGCACCTCCAATCTCCGAAGTGCGCTCAGCATCTGGACATGCTGTGAAGGTCGCTGGAGTTGGTCGAGCTGCATTCAGAGCACCTGATGGTGGACTGGTTGTGCTGAAGGACGTGTTACTCGTACCGGGGCTGAAGGCCAATCTGATATCGCTGCGCAAGCTAGGCCAGGCCGGAGTCAGCACCACCACCAATGGATCCAAAACATTCAAGGGGCTGCGAGGAGATCGTGTGTTATGGGATTTACACGAAAGCAGAGATGTCTTCAGATCCATGTGGCACATCCCTGCGCTGATATGGGAATCAACAAAGAAGGAGTTGGGAGCAGTAAAGGCAGGATCTGGAGTCCAGGGGGAGTGCAATGCAGTTAGTGCTGCAGGAGTGGCGGTTTCTGCAAGGTCGGGGGAGACTGATTGGGAAACCGCACACAAGCGTCTAGGGCATGTGGCTATGCCATTGCTGCAGCAACTGCATAAGGAAGAAGCAGTAAAGGGGCTGAAGCTTTCTGGGCAACCGAATGATACCAAGTGCGAGACGTGTCTGCTGAGCAAGTTCACACGGTTCCCCTTTCACGGCGTAGCTGGGAAAAGCAAGGCAGCACTGGAACTGGTGCACATGGACCTGGTAGGACCTTTTCCAGTTCAAGGAAGAAAGGGGGAAAGATACTTCCTAACAATAGTTGATGACTGGAGTCGGCTGATGTGGGCATACCCCGTTGAAGCAGAAGGATCATGCTGCCTCAACAATACGAGATGACTGGCTGCCGTTCGTCGAGCGACAATCTGGGCACCCATGCAAGAGCATCAGAACTGACCGAGGTGGAGAGTTTCTAGGAGGAGATCTGACTGCGTGGCTAAAAAAACAAGGCATTGAGCATCAGCTAACGACGTCCTATACCCCTCAGTCTAATGGCGTTGCTGAGAGGGCTAATAGGACCATCCTGGAAACTGCGCGAGCGCTGCTGATCGAATCAGGGCTGGGGAACTCCATGTGGCCTCATGCGGTGAGGCATGCTACAGTGGCAAGGAACCGCGTACTCACAAAGGTGGCTGATGATATGTGGGTGCCGCTGGAGAGGTGGCTTGGAAAGAAGCCTCCTGTGGACATGCTTAGAGTGTTCGGATGCATGGCAGTGGCGCATGTCCCTAAACCGTACAGGACAAAGCTTGGAGCATCTGCACTGTGGTGTGTGCACCTTGGGCTTGCGGCAGAGAGCAAGGGGTGGCTACTCTGGGAGCCCTCAAAGAATGTGCTGTTTGACAGTCGGGATGTCAAATCTGTGGAGAACATCATGTATGGCAAGTGGGAGAAGCAGCCGGAGGCAAGGGTCACTCAGCAGCTGGAAGAGATCACTATGCACTTCGATGTGTCCGAACCTGAGGACAGCGAAGTCACTGCGCCAACGGCGAGCGGTACTGATGAAGGAAGCAATGAGGATATTGCAGCTGATGCTGAAGTCAAGGATCTGGAGCAGCAGCAGCAAGAGGCTTCCAAAACACCAAGTCTGCCAAAGCGAAGGAAACAGATTGGTGGGGGGACAAAGGATTGGGTGAAGGTGAAAGAATGGGTAAATCCAACCATCTACCATGCACGTACCAGAATGGCAACAAGAGAGCTGCTGAGCTCTACAAGTGGAGGAGCCACAACAGAGCAGCAGGAACAGGCTCAAGGCGAAGATGCAGTGCTATTCTTGGGTGATGACCAAGAGTCAGATGACGAGGAGCCTGCATACTGCTTTTACGCACCAATACAACCTCCGAGCATGGATCATGCGCTAGCCGGGCCTCAACGGGGGAAGTGGCTCTCAAGAGATGCAGAGTACAACAGCCAGATGGAGAATCACACATGGGCGCTGGTGTACTTGCCAAATGGGAAGAAGGCAATACAGTGCAAGTGGCTGGCAAAAATCAAGACGGATGAGAAAGGAGAGCCATCAGTTTAAAAGAGCAGGCTGGTGGCAAACGGGTCTCAGCAGAAAGAGAAGGAAGATTACAAAGAAGTGTTTGCCCCAACTGCTAAGTCTCCAACGCTACGTGTGCTGCTGGCGGTAGCTGCTGTGCGCAAATGGAAGGTGAAGCAGATGGACATCGTAACCGCTTTTCTGTACGGCATTGTGGAAGAGGAGGTGTACATGGTTCAACCACCTGGCTATGAGGATGGAACCGGTCGTGTCTGCAAACTTAACAAGGCCATCTATGGCTTGAAGCAGGCCCCGAGATGCTGGTACAACAGGCTGGCCAGTGCACTGGAAGGGATTGGATTTCGTGCGAGTGCATGCGACGAGAGCCCATTCCTGATGGGCGACGGGGAGTCGCTTGTGCTTCTGCTGGTGTACGTGGATGACATCCTGCTCTTCAGCAGCAGTGACAAGGAGATCGATGGGGTGCAGCGGAAGCTCACAGAGCAGTTCAAGTGCAAGTCACTTGGAGAGGCAAGGTACTACCTGGGAATGCACATTGAGCGGGATACTGAACGTGGCTGGATCAAACTGCATCAGGGACAGTACATCCACACCTTGGCTGAGAAGTACTCTCTGCAGGAAGAACAGACAGTGGTCACACCTTTGCCTTCCGAGTTCAAACTCATAAAGGCAGCTGAAGGAGAAGGAGTTGAGTGTGAAGACCAGAGGCAATTCCAATCCATGGTCGGGAGCCTACTATACGCTGCTGTGCAAACTCGGCCTGACATCAGCTTTGCTGTGGGACAGCTGGCTCGAGTAGTGCAAAATCCAACAGAAGAGCAGTATGGTGCAGCGGAGACAGTGATGCGTTACCTCAAGTCATACCCTACAGTGGGAGTACAGTATTCAGCCTCTGCTCAACTCAGGCAAAAGGGAGTTGAAGTCCTCAAAGAGAAGGGGGAGCAGCTCGGAGAAGGAAAGGTGTTCCTTTCCTGTTTTGCTGATGCCACATGGGCTTCTGAACATGAGGATTCATCATCAGTAGGCGGATACATCTGCATGGTGGGAGGTGGGCCTGTAAGTTGGAGGTCCAAGAAGCAGTCTGAGATGGCACTATCTTCAGTGGAATCTGAGTACATGGCGATGTTTTATGCGACAAAAGAAATCATCTGGCTAAGGAGGCTCTTGAAGGAGATCGGCCATGAACAGACTTGTGCGACACCTCTGTTCAGTGATAGCAAGAGAGCCATTGCCATGGCACGCAATGTAGTTCTTCATGGGCTGAACAAGCACATGAGGATTAAGTGGCATTGGCTGAAAACTCAGCAACAGCCAGCCGACTTCCTTACCAAGCGGCTAGCTGAAGAGCCACACTGGCGCTGTGCGAGGATGGCGGGAATGTCCTTGAACTAGAGACGGCGAAACAAGCCGACAGTCTGAGGGGGAGTGTGTTGGTGCATATTCGTTTGCACGTCATCCTGTCGTCGGTTCGCATCATTTTGTTGCATGTGTTTTGTGTGCTACGTTGTTTGTGTGGTTTGTTGGGTTTGCATGTCTTTGCATATTCATCTTGTGCTTGTGTAGATGTGCTTGGATTGTGCATGACATCGAGCACATTTCAACGAGCCAAGAATTGTTGGAATCGGAGCACATATGAAGAAGTTACGAAGAAGTGTTTGATGGATTTGTTACAACTCATTGGAAGTCCTTGGCAGCTGCTAGACCAAAGTTGGAGAGCCCTATAACGAGGAGGGACCAGCATGTGTGGGACTTTTGTCCTCACCTTGCAGCTGCAGCATTTGGGGGTTGGAGGCCAACCTGGCACAGTGTGAATTTTGTCTTGCCAGGCTGGTTGAACCTGAGGATGGGGAGTCAAGACTTTGACTCTTGTCATGTTCTTGACCATGGGCCTCCAGGGTCCTTCCCTTTCATCCTTCCCTTCCATCCCCACCTTCCAACTGTGCTTCAATGCCTTTTCTATCATGCCTTTGAACTTGTAAGCTTCAATTATAGTGACTCTGAGGACTATCAACTTCTCCTAGGGCAGATTACCCCCCAGTGCGCCAAATGCCATAGCTCACTCGTTAAGCTACGGAATCGAGTGATTCAACTTTCAGCGGAAAGCTGACGCTGCAAGCTCCAACATATCCGATTGTCTAATCGTTTCACCGATTGGAGTTCTGGATATAGCTTTTTGAAGGTCGCAAGTTTTCTGGGCGTCATAACGAAGTGCTGCAGAAATTCCCAAGGAGCCATTGAATCATCTGCTTATAGCCTTCTCTAACCCACAAAAGTCCCACACATGCTGGTCCCTCCTCGTTATAGGGCTCTCCAACTTTGGTGTAGCAGCTGTCAAGGACTTCCAATATGTTGTAACAAATCCATCACACGTTTCTTCGTAACTTCTTCATATGTGCTCCGATTCCAGCAAATCTTGGCCCATTGGAATGTGCTCGATGTCATGTACAATCCAAGCATAAGATGAACATGCAAAGATATGCAAACCCAACAAACCACACAAACAACGTAATATACGAAACACATGCTAACAAAATGATGCAAACAGACGGGAGGATGACGTGCAAACGAATGTGCACCAGCACACTCCCCCTCAGACTGTTGGCTTGTATCGCCGTCTCTAGTTCAAGGACATTCTCGCCATCCTCACAGAGCGTCAGTGCAGCTCGTCACCTAGCCAGTTGGTAAGGAAGTCGACTGGCTGTTCCTGAGTTTTCACGTAGATCAGATCCAGAGTCCTAAGCTTCACCTCCTGCAGCCAGTGCCACTTGATCCACTTGTGTTTGTTCAGCCCATGAAGAACTGCATTGCATGCCATGGCGATGCCTCCCTTGCTGTCACTGAAGAGAGGTGTCGCACAAGTCTGTTCATGTCCGATCTCCTTCAAGAGCCTCCTTGGCCAGATGATTTCATTTGCCGTATGAAACATCGCCATGTACTAAGATTCCACTGAAGATAGTGCCGTTTCAGATTGTTTCTTGGACCTCCAACTTATAGGCCCACCTCCCACCATGCAGATGTATCCACCCACTGACAATGAATCCTCATGCTCAGAAGCCCATCTGGCATCAGCGAAGCAGGAAAGGTGTTCCTTTCCTTCTCCGAGCTGTTCCCCCTTTTCTTTGAGAACTTCAACTCCTTTCTGCTTGAGTTGAGCAGAGGATGAATACTGTACTCCCACTGTAGGGTAGGACTTGAGGTAACGCACCACTCTCTCCGCTGCAGCACACTGCTCTTTTGTTGGATTTTGCACTACTCGAGCCAGCTGCTTCACAGCAAAGCTGATGTCAGACCGAGTATGCACAGTAGCGTTGAGTATGCTTCCGACCATGGATTGGAATTGCCTCTGGTCTTCACTCTCAATTTCTTCTCCTTCAGATGCCTTGCAGAGTGTACTTCTCAGAGAGTAAATTTCAGCCAAGGTGTTGATGTACTGTCCTTGATTTAGTTTGAGACAGTCACATTCAGCATCCCTCTCAATGTGCAATCCCAGGTAGTACCTTGCCTCCCCAAGTGACTTGCACTTGAACTACTCTGTGAGTTTCCGCTGCACTCCATCGATCTCCTTATTGCTGCTGCTGAAGAGCAGGATGTCGTCCACGTACACCAGCAGAAGCACAACGACTCCCCTTCGCCCATCAAAAATAGGCTCTCGTCACATGCACTCGCAAGGAATCCGATCCCTTCCAGTGCGCTGGCCAGCCTGTTGTACCAGCATCTTGGGGCCTGCTTCAAGCCATAGATGGTCGTGTTGAGTTTGCAGATACAACCGGTTCCATCCTCATTGCCAGGAGGTATTAGCATTGGAGACTTTGCAGTTGGAGCGAACGCTTCTTTGTAATCTTCCTTCTCTTTCTGCTGAAACCCCTTTGCGACCAGCGTGCTCTTTTCAACAAATGGCTCTCCTTTCTCATCCGTGTTGATTCTTGCCAGCCACTTGCACTGTATTGCCTTCTTCCCATTTGGCAAGTACACCAGATCCCATGTCTCTGGAAAGTTTGCTACATACTCGAGGAGTTTCGATCAGACCGTGAACACTTGGCCTTTTGGGTCGGTGAAGGGTATTGATCTATGTGACAGGGCCGTTAAAGCTTGACATAACTTTGATGCACGAAGGTGGTGGCTTTAAAAAGGTGCATCTCAACAGTACGGTAGCGCATAACTACATCCTTACTCATTGCATGCCTTGCTGAGCAACTTGAGGATTACAAAACAGCTCTTCTGAAACAGGTCAACTTTCTCCAACGGCTCCATATCAGCACCAGGAAGTGGCAGCAGGCCAGTAAGGACTCGGCCATGCTCGGTCCATCTGATCTCGACTGGAGGTTGGCAAAGGTGAGGTAGACTGGTCAGGCACAGCATCTGTTGTTACCACTCAGCGTGGTCTCATCGCTTGACAAGACGATCACGCATACACACTCGCGCTCCCCTAACCTCCACTGGTCGAGTAAGAGTAGGACAGGGGGGGTATGTTGGGGAGCGGATGTGCATGGATAATATGGATACAAGAGATGGAGAAGAATGTGCGTATGCAGTGCACCACATCTTAAATGAGTTATATGTGCTTGGACACAAGGGGAACTGGTTGGTGCACTTCGCTGTACGGTGGCAAACTGATATGGTGGCATGAAATTGATTGAGATTGACAGGTTAAACACTACACAGTAAGACACTGGGACGGCACCAGGTGCGAACCATCCTGGTTGACGGACCAACAAGGCATGTGGAATAGGGGGGGGGGGAGGGCAACCTGGGCCTTCAGCCAATAGTTCCCGTTTCCTCTCCCTTGTAAACTCGCTGATCATGCTTGTACATGGCTTTTGCGCGATGGATAAAACTGTAAGAAATAGAGTTGAAATAATTGATTAGGTAAGGAGCCCAAGGCTCTATAAGTACATGGCAAGGTGAGAGTGAATGGATGAAGGGTGAATTGGAGGGAATCCCCATTGGGATCTCCGGAATCTCCAATTGGGTAATTGGAGATTGGGGGGATCACAATTGGGTGAGGTTGGGATTTGTAAGTACACCCCAACCCACTAGAACATTCATAACCTAAACTAGGATATAAAAGTACAAATACAAAAGTGGTATTTGCAGTCTATTTCTAACACACCCCCATAGACTGCAAACCCAATCAAGGAGCACATAGCCCCATGGAACGGAGAAGGCGATGGTGGTCAGCCTTGCCGAGAGCCTTGGTAATGAGGTCGGCGAGGTTGCAATCTGAGGCGATGTACCGTACCGTCAGCTGGTCACTCTGAACAAGATCTCGGATGAAGAAATGACGAATTTCGATGTGCTTGGTGCGAGAGTGGAACACAGGATCCTTGGTGAGATGAATGGCACTCTGGTTGTCACACCACAGGGTGGGCGACTGCTGGGGGTAGCCTAACTCAGCGAGGAGAAAGGAGAGCCAGCGTGCCTCTTGAGCAGCCATTGTGCCCGCGTAGAGCTCGGCCTCGCAGGACAACACGGAGACTGCAGAGGACCGAGTGGAGCGCCAGCTGATGACTCCGCTACCAAGGGTGAAGCAGTACCCTTGGGATGAGCTACATGAGTGAACCGACTAGCTCAGGGTACGGGTCCTTGCAGGCATCAGGAGAAGGAACTGGAGGGGCCGTGAGCTGATGCTGTAGTGGGAGTGGAGTGGAGACAGAGTTACTGGAGTCCATGTCGAACCGCTTGAGAAGGTTGTCGATGTAGGACTCCTTGGAGAGGGTGATCGTGCAAGCCTGGCGGTCACGAGTGATCTCCATCCCCAGGTAGTTCTTGAGGTCACCAAGATCCTTCATGAGAAGGGCGGAGCTGAGAGCAGACTGGACAGCTGCCATGTCGGCTGGATCTCTGGCGGCTAGAATGAAGTCGTCGACGTAGACGAGGATGTAGAAGGGCTCGGAGGAGTGACGAACGAAGAGACTGGAATCTGAGGCAGAGGGATGGAAGTCAAGTGCGAGGAGGACTTCCTTCACCTTGTTGTGCCACTCACGAGGAGCCTGCTTGAGGCCATACACTGGGCGCTTCAGCTTCCACACTGTGTTGGCAGGGTAAGTGCCAGGAAACCCCGGTGGGCGTTCCATGTGAACATCCTCCTTGAGCTGGCCTTGGAGAAAGGCGGAGGAGGCGTCCATGGACTTGATCTCGAAGTTGCCGCGAGCGGCTATATCAAGAAGAGCGCGCACAGTCGGGAGCTTGGCCGTGGGCGAGAATGTTTCGAAGAAGTCGAGATACTCCTTCTGGGTGAAACCCTTCGCCACGTATCGTGCCTTGAACAGTGGAGCTTCGCCTGGGAGTTGTTTGACTCGGAAGATCCATTTTCCGCCGACGATGTTGACACCGGAAGGGGGAACAACATCGTCAAAGCTGTTGTTGCGAATGAACGCCTCGTTCTCCACATCCATTTCTGCCTTCCACTCCTTCTTATAAGGCCCCGAGAGAGCTTCCTCTTTTGTGCGAGGAGTCGGAATGGTCGGGTTCTCGGTGAAGTTGAGGGAAGGGCAGTCAGTAATGTCCGGGAAGATGTGAGAGAGAAATTGGCAGACCGCGTAAAGGTCAAACAGCTTCTCATGCCTGTCCTCCAGAAGTGCAGGGGGGGGAATACGGATGGAGGGGACATCACCCCCGGCAGGAGGAGGCGGGGTGACCAAACACCGGATGGAGAAGGCGGCTGGTCCCCAGGCGAGAGGCGGAGCCGGTCCCTTGGAACGAGTGCGACTAGAGACCGGAGACGAAGGCGGCTGCGGTGAAACCGGAGGGACTGGGCGCCTCCGATAGGAGACTGGTGAGCCGGGCTCGACGCGCGGGGAAGGCGGAGCAGGAGGAGGTGCCGCTGTTGGTGCATATTCGTTTGCACGTCATCCTGTCGTCGGTTCGCATCATTTTGTTGCATGTGTTTTGTGTGCTACGTTGTTTGTGTGGTTTGTTGGGTTTGTATGTCTTTGCATATTCATCTTGTGCTTGTGCAGATGTGCTTGGATTGTGCATGACATCGAGCACATTTCAACGAGCCAAGAATTGTTGGAATCGGAGCACATGTGAAGAAGTTACGAAAAAGTGTTTGATGGATTTGTTACAACTCATTGGAAGTCCTTGGCAGCTGCTAGACCAAAGTTGGAGAGCCCTATAACGAGGAGGGACCAGCATGTGTGGGACTTTTGTCCTCACCTTGCAGCTGCAGCATTTGGGGGTTGGAGGCCAACCTGGCACAGTGTGAATTTTGTCTTGCCAGGCTGGTTGAACCTGAGGATGGGGAGTCAAGACTTTGACTCTTGTCATGTTCTTGACCATGGGCCTCCAGGGTCTTTCCCTTTCATCCTTCCCTTCCATCCCCACCTTCCAACTGTGCTTCAATGCCTTTTCTATCATGCCTTTGAACTTGTAAGCTTCAATTATAGTGACTCTGAGGACTGTCAACTTCTCCTAGGGCAGATTACCCCCCAGTGCGCCAAATGCCATAGCTCACTCGTTAAGCTACGGAATCGAGTGATTCAACTTTCAGCAGAAAGCTGACGCTGCAAGCTCCAACATATCTGATGTTCATATCGTTTCACCGATTGGAGTTCTGGATATAGCATTTCGAAGGTCGCGAGTTTTCTGGGCGTCATAACGAAGTGCTGCAGAAATTTCCAAGGAGCCATTGAATCATCTGCTTATAGCTTTCTCTAACCAAGAAGTGGTATCAGAGCCCATTATCACGCATTTGGGACCTAAAATACGATGGGAGGTAAGGAGGACTCTGGTGGAGGTGATACTTCAGTCCAAGGAGGCAGCTCAATCCAAGATTCTGGCATTGCAGCGCAAAGGGGAGCGCGTACAAGCCAGGGGTCACTGCTTAAGGAGGTGCTGAAGAACTTCACCATTGAGAAGTTCTCTGGAGATGGCTATGATGATTGGGCATGGAAGATGCAGCTCTACTTTCGACAAATTGGCCTCTTGAAGCTCATGATTGGAACGGAGCCCAGGCCAAAGGAAATGGCAGAGCAAGCGAACTGGGATGAACGTTCATCTGCTGGGTATTATCTACTGTCACAAAGCTTGGAGCTGAACCAGAGGCATCACATCATGCATCTGCTACCGGAAACTGATTGTGGGCCCAAGGCATGGGCAGTGCTCAAGGACCTGCACGCTCCGACATCGGTTGCCACTTCTCTCATGCTGGATCGGGAGTTGTCCATGCTGCGGTTGAGCGAGAATGAACCTGTGCAGCCCGTACTGGACAAGATGAGGGAACTCTACGCGAAATTGGCGATTGCTGGCATCACGTACCCCGAGCAGACTAAGTGTCTCAAGATGCTCAGCCTGCTGCCCGAGTCTTGGCTGCAATTTATAAGCGGACTCAGCTTGCCACAAAACCAAAGTCAATGGACATTGGAGTGGATTCGCACCAAGATTCTGGAAGAAGATTTTCGTTGCTATACACTGCGCGGAGGTGATGACAGCACCAGCGGCTATGCCATGCAAGGGACATGGAGAGATCGAGGGCGTGGCAATCGCGGTCGCTCTTACTACAACCAAGGTGGTCGCGGGACTTGGAACCAGCGGGGGCATGGTGGCGCTGGTGCAAGAGGAAGAGGTGGTCACTCAAACAACGATAACAGTGAACCACGCTTGAGGGGAGAGTGCTGGTATTGCAAGGAAGAAGGGCATCCATGGTTTCGCTGCTCTACCAAGCCCGACTGGTGGACCCCTTGGAACCAATCGCAAAAGGGGAATGGAGGAAAGCAACCACATGGAGGTGCCAATATGGTAGCTGATCCTGCTGAAGAAACCTCCAAGGACGACAGAGGAATGGGAAATGAGGAGAGGAATGCTGGACAGTTCTACCATGTGTGTGACAAAGATGACAGTGGCACAGCTGTTGAAAGAGGTGCAGAAGAAGAACTCCACCCGCTTGACATGTGGGTCATGGACTCTGGTGCTGCATGGACAATGACACCACGCAAGGACTTGCTGGATGCTGTGCGAGCGCCTCCAATCTCCGAAGTGCGCTCAGCATCTGGACATGCAGTGAAGGTCGCTGGAGTTGGTCGAGCTGCATTCAGAGCACCTGATGGTGGACTGGTTGTGCTGAAGGACGTGTTACTCGTACCGGGGCTGAAGGCCAATCTGATATCGCTGCGCAAGCTAGGCCAGGCCGGAGTCAGCACCACCACCAATGGATCCAAAACATTCAAGGGGCTGCGAGGAGATCGTGTGTTATGGGATTTACACGAAAGCAGAGATGTCTTCAGATCCATGTGGCACATCCCTGCGCTGATATGGGAATCAACAAAGAAGGAGTTGGGAGCAGTAAAGGCAGGATCTGGAGTCCAGGGGGAGTGCAATGCAGTTAGTGCTGCAGGAGTGACGGTTTCTGCAAGGTCGGGGGAGACTGATTGGGAAACCGCACACAAGCGTCTAGGGCATGTGGCTATGCCATTGCTGCAGCAACTGCATAAGGAAGAAGCAGTAAAGGGGCTGAAGCTTTCTGGGCAACCAAATGATACCAAGTGCGAGACGTGTCTGCTGAGCAAGTTCACACGGTTCCCCTTTCACGGCGTAGCTGGGAAAAGCAAGGCAGCACTGGAACTGGTGCACATGGACCTGGTAGGACCTTTTCCAGTTCAAGGAAGAAAGGGGGAAAGATACTTCCTAACAATAGTTGATGACTGGAGTCGGCTGATGTGGGCATACCCGTTGAAGCAGAAGGATCATGCTGCCTCAACAATACGAGATGACTGGCTGCCGTTCGTCGAGCGACAATCTGGGCACCCATGCAAGAGCATCAGAACTGACCGAGGTGGAGAGTTTCTAGGAGGAGATCTGACTGCGTGGCTCAAGAAACAAGGCATTGAGCATCAGCTAACGACGTCCTATACCCCTCAGTCAAATGGCGTTGCTGAGAGGGCTAATAGGACCATCCTGGAAACTGCGCGAGCGCTGCTGATCGAATCAGGGCTGGGGAACTCCACGTGGCCTCATGCGGTGAGGCATGCTACAGTGGCAAGGAACCGCGTACTCACAAAGGTGGCTGATGATATGTGGGTGCCGCTGGAGAGGTGGCTTGGAAAGAAGCCTCCAGTGGACATGCTTAGAGTGTTCGGATGCATGGCAGTGGCGCATGTCCCTAAACCGTACAGGACAAAGCTTGGAGCATCTGCACTGTGGTGTGTGCACCTTGGGCTTCCGGCAGAGAGCAAGGGGTGGCTACTCTGGGAGCCCTCAAAGAATGTGCTGTTTGACAGTCGGGATGTCAAATTTGTGGAGAACATCATGTATGGCAAGTGGGAGAAGCAGCCGGAGGCAAGGGTCAATCAGCAGCTGGAAGAGATCACTATGCACTTCGATCTGTCCGAACCTGAGGACAGCGAAGTCACTGCGCCAACGGCAAGCGGTACTGATGAAGGAAGCAATGAGGATATTGCACCTGATGCTGAAGTCAAGGATCTGGAGCAGCAGCAGCAAGAGGCTTCCAAAACACCAAGTCTGCCAAAGCGAAGGAAACAGATTGGTGGGGGGACAAAGGATTGGGTGAAGGTGAAAGAATGGGTAAATCCAACGCTGGTGTACTTGCCAAATGGGAAGAAGGCAATACAGTGCAAGTGGCTGGCAAAAATTAAGACGGATGAGAAAGGAGAGCCATCAGTTTACAAGAGCAGGCTGGTGGCAAACGGGTTTCAGCAGAAAGAGAAGGAAGATTACAAAGAAGTGTTTGCCCCAACTGCTAAGTCTCCAACGCTACGTGTGCTGCTGGCGGTAGCTGCTGTGCGCAAATGGAAGGTGAAGCAGATGGACATCGTAACCGCTTTTCTGTACGGCATTGTGGAAGAGGAGGTGTACATGGTTCAACCACCTGGCTATGAGGATGGAACCGGTCGTGTCTGCAAACTTAACAAGGCCATCTATGGCTTGAAGCAGGCCCCGAGATGCTGGTACAACAGGCTGGCCAGTGCACTGGAAGGGATTGGATTTCGTGCGAGTGCATGCGACGAGAGCCCATTCCTGATGGGCGACGGGGAGTCGCTTGTGCTTTTGCTTGTGTACGTGGATGACATCCTGCTCTTCAGCAGCAGTGACAAGGAGATTGATGGGGTGCAGCGGAAGCTCACAGAGCAGTTCAAGTGCAAGTCACTTGGAGAGGCAAGGTACTACCTAGGAATGCACATTGAGCGGGATACTGAACGTGGCTGGATCAAACTGCATCAGGGACAGTACATCCACACCTTGGCTGAGAAGTACTCTCTGCAGGAAGAACAGACAGTGGTCACACCTTTGCCTTCCGAGTTCAAACTCATAAAGGCAGCTGAAGGAGAAGGAGTTGAGTGTGAAGACCAGAGGCAATTCCAATCCATGGTCGGGAGCCTACTCTACGCTGCTGTGCATACTCGACCTGACATCAGCTTTGCTGTGGGACAGCTGGCTCGAGTAGTGCAAAATCCAACAGAAGAGCAGTATGGTGCAGCGGAGAGAGTGGTGCGCTACCTCAAGTCATACCCTACAGTGGGAGTAAAGTATTCAGCCTCTGCTCAACTCAGGCAAAAGGGAGTTGAAGTCCTCAAAGAGAAGGGGGAGCAGCTCGGAGAAGGAAAGGTGTTCCTTTCCTGTTTTGCTGATGCCACATGGGCTTCTGAACATGAGGATTCATCATCAGTAGGCGGATACATCTGCATGGTGGGAGGTGGGCCTGTAAGTTGGAGGTCCAAGAAGCAGTCTGAGACGGCACTATCTTCAATGGAATCTGAGTACATGGCGATGTTTCATGCGGCAAAAGAAATCATCTGGCTAAGGAGGCTCTTGAAGGAGATCGGCCATGAACAGACTTGTGCGACACCTCTGTTCAGTGATAGCAAGAGAGCCATTGCCATGGCACGCAATGTAGTTCTTCATGGGCTGAACAAGCACATGAGGATTAAGTGGCATTGGCTGAAAACTCAGCAACAGCCAGCCGACTTCCTTACCAAGCGGCTAGCTGAAGAGCCACACTGGCGCTGTGCGAGGATCGCGGGAATGTCCTTGAACTAGAGACGGCGAAACAAGCCGACAGTCTGAGGGGGAGTGTGTTGGTGCATATTCGTTTGCACGTCATCCTGTCGTCGGTTCGCATAATTTTGTTGCATGTGTTTTGTGTGCTACGTTGTTTGTGTGGTTTGTTGGGTTTGCATGTCTTTACATATTCATCTTGTGCTTGTGCAGATGTGCTTGGATTGTGCATGACATCGAGCACATTTCAACGAGCCAAGAATTGTTGGAATCGGAGCACATATGAAGAAGTTACGAAGAAGTGTTTGATGGATTTGTTACAACTCATTGGAAGTCCTTGGCAGCTGCTAGACCAAAGTTGGAGAGCCCTATAACGAGGAGGGACCAGCATGTGTGGGACTTTTGTCCTCACCTTGCAGCTGCAGCATTTGGGGGTTGGAGGCCAACCTGGCACAGTGTGAATTTTGTCTTGCCAGGCTGGTTGAACCTGAGGATGGGGAGTCAAGACTTTGACTCTTGTCATGTTCTTGACCATGGGCCTCCAGGGTCCTTCCCTTTCATCCTTCCCTTCCATCCCCACCTTCCAACTGTGCTTAAATGCCTTTTCTATCATGCCTTTGAACTTGTAAGCTTCAATTATAGTGACTCTGAGGACTGTCAACTTCTCCTAGGGCAGACTACCCCTCGGTGCGCCAAACGCCATAGCTCACTCGATAAGCTACGGAATCGAGTGATTCAACTTTCAGCGGAAAGCAGACGCTGCAAGCTCCAAGATATCCGATGTTCATATCGTTTCACCGATTCGAGTTCTGGATATAGCTTTTCGAAGGTCGCGAGTTTTCTGGGCGTCATAACGAAGTGCTGCAGAAATTCCAAGGAGCCATTGAATCATCTGCTTATAGCCTTCTCTAACCAACAGCCGCTGCGGAGGATACTGGGGAGGCCGGGTGAGACACGCCGGACGGAGAAGGCCCCGGAGAAGGGGCAGCGGCCGGAGGTGGGGCATCGAAGTCTGCCCAAACAAGCGTCAGGGGAGGTGGAGGAGGCTCGCCCGTGGTCGCAGAGTGGAATAGGCGTGTCTCATCGAAGACGACATCACGGCTGCGAATCAGCTGTCTGGTGATTGGGTTGAGGAATAAGTAGTCTGGGGAGTCGGAGTTGTGCCCCAGGTACATGCAGGTCTGGGTTTTGGGACCAAGCTTGCCACCTTGCTTCCTGCGCGTGTGGGGGCTTAGCAACACATACGCGGTACACCCCCAGACGCGTAGAGAGCGGGTGGAAGGCGTGACCCCAAGCCAGAGTGCGGTAGGTGTGGTGTCAGGCCGGTGGGGATGCGGATAAAGATTGTAGAGGAGTGCCGCATGGAAGAGGGCATATCCCCAGAGTGACCGTGGTGCGTTGGCGTGACTGAGGAGGCAGCGAGCGATCTGAACCAAGGTGTGGTTGCGGCTCTCTGCAATGCCGTTCTGCTGCGGGCTTTCGGGGAGCGTGAAGGTTTGCCGAATCCCTTGGGCCGCACAAAAGTTATCAAGTTTGCCATTGCGAAATTCTCCCCCACCATCAGAATGGAGGCACTTCAGAGGAGTGCCGAACGTGACTTGAGCCTGGCGCACCCACGCCATGATGACATCAGGTGCCTCCGCCTTGGTATGCAGGAGGTGCACAGAAACATACCGCGAATGGTCATCGACTAGTGTAAGAAAGTACCAATGACCGCCTCGGGATGCGACTGGAGCTGGGCCCCAGACATCCATGTGCACTAGGTCCAGCGGAGCAGCTGCGACGGATGGGGAGGAAGGGTGCGGCTGCTGCCTGAGCTTGCTCTTGGTGCAGTCCAGGCAGGTGGGTGCAGGTGAGTCTGTTGGTGGAGGAAGCGCCGACGGGAGGCCAAGAAGAAGTTTCTTGGAAGCGATGTCGGCAAGTGTACGGAAGTTGGGGTGACCCAAGCGATGGTGGTAGAGGATGGTTGGGTTGGCGAAGCTGCGACACGAACACGGAGTGGTGCTGGCAGCTTGCGCTTGGGAGAGGGCGGCGAGAGGTGCAGGTGAACGCAGCGTGTAGAGCTTGCTACTGTTGAGTGTGAAGCGTGCTAGGAGCTTGTTGGACTTAGGGTCAAGGAGGTCACAGTGATCCGAGTGTGCTGGGAAGATCGTGGTGACACCTGCCCGTTGGAGCTCGTGTTGGGCCACGAGATTGTGGCGTAGTGTGGGAACACACATGCCGGTCACACTGCCCGAAGGAAAAGCTGGGCACGGAACTGTGGAGGAGCCCTTGCGTGTGTTGTGAAACTGGAGTCTGCTCCAAGTAGACGGATTGGTGTCTCGTATCGCTTGAAGGAGTGTTCTTCCTTGAGAACCGTGTGAGTGGCCCCACTGTCAAGGGTGAACTCTATTGTGGCTGAGGTGCTTTGTGAGCCGGGACACTGCGAAATCGTCTCATTAATCATGGCAGTGCCAGGGAACAATATGTTGAGGCGCACATCAGCAGGGGGAGCTACAACAGCCTGCACGGATTCCTGCGCTTCGACTTGATTGACTTGGCAAGCAGCACGATTGACCATCCAGCTTGGCGGCTTCGAGGCGGTCCCATTGACGGCATACCACTCGTCAACCTTCTTCTTAAAGCAGGAGGCAAGGGTGTGGTTGGTGCCGCCACACACCTGGCCAGCACGAGGGCCGCGCTTGATGATGTAGGGACACGGGGGGAAGCGGTTGCGCTGGAATGGCACCGAAGCGGCATAGGCTTGAGGCACGGGAGCGCGAATTGCATTGGCCTTGGCTTGAGCGCTGTTGTCCTTTTCGGCAGAAAGGAGCGCGGATGAGACCTTGGCAAATGTGAGGTCTGCAGGAGCAAGGCCCAAGAGCATCTTGCGTGTGACTTCGTATGCCGGAGTGAGGCCGACTAGGAGAGCGGCTGCAGGGGCTTGCTCGGGGAAGACTATCCCCAACTGCTTGAGTTCACCATGAATGGACTGCACCTTGGTGACATAGTCCGCCATGCCTGGCGAGTCCTCGAGCCGCACTTGGAACATGCTGGGGATGAGTATAGCAACTCCCACTGCAGTCTTGTTCAGGAAGCGATCCTCGAGGTAGAGCCAAAGGGCGTTGGCAGACGGGTAGTTGTGGTAGGTTTCGACGAGTTCGGGAGAATTGGTGCCCATGAAGATACTAATGACCGCACCATCGGCCTTCTCCCAATTCTTGTACTTGAGCAGTGCAGCAGCATAAACTGCTTCGGCGGCGGCATTAGCTGGATCGGCGGACCTCTCGGGTTTAGGAGGCTCTTTGCCGTCACCGATGTTGAGAAGGACGTCGGTGAGCTCGAGCCCCTTCACCTCGCGACTGAGGAGGTGCTTGTCGACACCATAGCGCCAAGCCTTGTAGTTGGAGCATGTACCGTCCGGTTCGAGACGAAAGAGCGGGATCGGGTTGGCGAGTGAAGTGGTTGAGTAAGCCATTGTCGGTGTGCAGCGCGGCACTTCTGGAAATTGGTCGACGAGAATTGCTTAAAATCACTCTGACGGCTGTATCAAAATGCCGCTAAGTAGGAAATGGCGTCGGGGAAAATTCGTTAAAACGCCGACTTGAAACAGAATCTGAGCCTATGTCTAACCCCGGACCCACACACCCCCCCACACACCCCCAGGCCCTGTCCCGCAGCAACACAGCTCCACAACCAGCTCCGCAACCAGCTCCGCAACCAGCTCCGCAACCAGCTCCGCTCCGCTTCAACCTGTGTACCTGCTCTTGCTTGACGCGAGACGTTCGTGGAGCCGATTTCGCGAGGGGAGTTTGCCTATTCAGGCGGGGTCTGAGGGGAAACTCGAGAACGAGTTTTAAGAGATGGTCGAAATTGAGATTCGACCAAGGAGAACCGAGGAGGAAATCGACGATGAGAAGCGTGAAAGCTTCAGAGATGAGAAATTCAACGAGGTCGAGCGCGAAGGCGGTCGACGATGAGAGGCGCGACTGCAGAGTGGAGCACGTCAAAATTCCGACGACTCGAAACGAATGTCGCAACGATGAAGTGTTCGTAGCGCAGGCACGTTGAGATAAGGACCTTGATCCGCGTGTGCGGATAGGTCGCTCTAATACCATGTAAGAACTAGAGTTGAAATGATTGATTAGGTAAGGAGCCCAAGGCTCTATAAGTACATGGCAAGGTGAGAGAGAATGGATGAAGGGGGAATTGGAGGGAATCCCCATTGGGATCTCCGGAATCTCCAATTGGGTAATTGGAGATTGGGGGGATTACAATTGGGTGAGGTTGGGATTTGTGAGTACACCCCAACCCACTAGAACATTCATAACCTAAACTATGATATAAAAGTACAAATACAAAAATGGTATTTGCAGTCTATTTCTAACACACCCCCATAGACTGCAAACCCGATCAAGGAGCACATAGCCCCATGGAACGGAGAAGGCGATGGTGGTCAGCCTTGCTGAGAGCCTTGGTAAAGAGGTCGGCGAGGTTGCAATCTGAGGCGATGTACCGTACCGTCAGCTGGTCACTCTGAACAAGATCTCGGATGAAGAAATGACGAAGTTCAATGTGCTTGGTGCAAGACTGGAACACATGATCCTTGGTGAGGTGAATGGCGCTCTGGTTGTCACACCATAAGGTGGGCGACTACTGGGGGTAGCCTAACTCAGCGAGGAGAAAGGAGAGCCAGCGTGCCTCTTGAGCAGCCATTGTGCCTGCGTAGAGCTCGGCCTCGCAGGACGACAGGGAGACTGCAGAGGACCGAGTGGAACGCCAGCTGATGACTCCGCTACCAAGAGTGAAGCAGTACCCTTGGGAGGAGCGTCTGTCAGTCTGGTCATCGGCCCATGAGGAGTCTGTGTATCCCTCAAGCTTGACTGGAGAGGTACCACCAAGAGAGGACACTAACCGGGTAAGCCAAGTCTGGTCGAGTGCACATCATGGCATACATGCGTGAACCGACTAGCTC